AGCCGGTGGGGCCCGGCGGGGCCTGGCGGCGGGGGCTCGGTGGGGCCTCGCCCCGGGGCATGCGGAGGAGGAGGAGGGGGTGGGGGTGTTGGCGGCGGCCGGCCCGGCCCGCACTATGTGGTACATCATGCAGAGCATCCAGAGCAAGTACTCGCTGTCGGAGCGGCTCATCCGCACCATCGCCGCCATCCGCTCCTTCCCCCGGGATAACGTGGAGGATCTCATCGGCAGGGTGAGCCCCCTCCCGCCCCGGTGCTACCGGACGCCGCGGAAGGAAACGGGAGGGTTTGTAAGGAAGGGGGGGGGCACCCCCTCATGGAACCCCGGTGCCACCGGAGGGTGCCCGCCCCCCTTTTGTGGGTGCCCAGGCATCGCCGCCCCTCGGGGTGAGGGTTTGAGGCCGCTGGGAGCTCGGGCTCGGCCCCGGTGGCGCTGTCACGGGAGCCCTGGGAGGCTGGGAGCGGTTCTGGGCGACAGGCCGGGGGTCAGAGTGCATCTAAGGGGGGAAATCTTGGTGCTGGGGGTGGTGAGAGCCTGGCCCAGGTTGCCCTGAGAAGCTGTGGCTGCTTCAGGTCTGAAGGTTCAAGGCCAAGGTTGGAGGGGGCTTTGGGCAACCTGGGCTGGGGGGAGGTGGCCCTTCCACTAGGAGGGATAGAACTGGATGGTCTTTAAGGTCCCTTCCAACCCCAAACGTTCTGTGATTTTCTGGCGATTCCACCACTTCCCTGGGTTGGAAGAGACCTTGAAGATCATCAAGCCCAACCATCAACCCACCACTGCCCAACCCACCACTGCCCCATGGCCCTCAGCACCAGCTTTTAGATCTCTCCAGGGATGGTGTTTGGGGAAGGGTTTTCAACCAAAAATTGGGAAACTGAGATGAGATCTGGGGAGGAAATTCTTCCCCCTGCGGGCGGTGAGAGCCTAGCCCAGGTTGCCCAGAGAAGCTGTGGCTGCCCCATCCCTGGAGGGGTTCAAGGCCAGGATGGAGGGGGCTTGGAGCAACCTGGTCTCCTTGAAGATGTCCCAGCCACCAGAAGGGATGGAACTGGATGAGCTTTAAGGTCCCTTCCAACCCCGGGACCGCGCGGAGCCCCGGGACCCCCCCGGAACCCTCCCGATCTCCCTCGGGGACCTTCCCGTGACCCTCCCCCACTCCTTCCCGCGGCGCTCGGTGCGGCCCGGGCGGTTCATCTCGCCCCCGCCGCAGCCGGTGGGGCCCGGCGGGGCCTGGCGG